GGTACCGCTTTGCCAGTGTTGTTGGCTGGGAACACTAGGCGAGTACGCTAAAAAAGTTCACGTTTACCGATTAGTTTTGAGGTTGTAGAGCTGTAACAAAAGTAACTCTTGTTGACTGAAAGTAATTGAGACTTAAAGATTTTTCTTCGTTAAATTCATTGAGAGATGGCAGTTTTCTGCACTGTTAATGCTCTGCACTCTTTTCCAGAAACGGCAGATGCAAAATTAGTCATTAAGAGATCTGCTGACAGGTCAGTCGGCAATTCTCGCTAACTAAACAGTCTGTCGTTAGTGACATTTGTCCCCTTAATTGTCAGTACTTTTGGAGGTTTTAGAAGTGAAGAAATCAAGGTTTTTGGGAGCTGTGCTCTTATAAAAAGTTTTTGAGGACGTCAGCTTTTACTGTTGTAAACATGTGAAACAGTTTCAAAGACACTTCTCTGTTTCAAAGCTAATGCTTATATGCAGACTTTTCTACCTAAGTTTATTTATGTATTACGTTGTATTCCTCGTACTCAAATCTAGCCTTCTGTTTCTACATCATACTGATTCCGGTTCTTGTCCTTTTACTTAGCTGATTTCTGATTACAAAAAAGACACTGGTGATGGATGAAAAATAATTTTTTTGCGTTAGCTAGGTCGGTTCAAACGACAGTTTTAAATAATTTTTTGAAGCCGCCGACACTCTTTGGTTCCCTTTATCAAAGATGACCTTTTTTCTTTTGTACCTAATTTTATCTTCTTGGTTTTATTGGGGGCTTTTGAAAAGAGTGGCGTCTTTATGCCGATGAACCGGCGAAAAGTAGTTGTATATAGTGAAGGCTAAAAAAGTAACAGAATGATATTATTTTAAATTTTTTTACATGGTAATTGGAAGATTTAACAGCGTAACAGACGTCCAGGGTATTCATCTAATTGTCCTTCATTTGTAGTTGCTGATTTTCTCATTTTATGTCAATGTTCAACACCTAACTTTTTTTTTAAATTTAAATATTGAAGGCCTCATATTTGGGTTTCTTCTAAATCCCTGAAGAAATGTTACCGGTGCAGATTTTAAAAGAAAATGCTCAAGAAGAACGAGGCGAAAGTGCGAGGCTTTCTTCATTTGTCGGCGCAATAGCCATCGGAGACTTAATAAAATCTACACTGGGACCAAAAGGAATGGTGAGGCTTGGATTTTAGCTTAGATTTTAGTTATTTTTTATCCGCTTTACTTGAAGATTCTTCGTAAATTTATTCGAAGTGGTGTAACTCGATATCATATTTAAGGATAAAATATTATTGAGTGGTGAAGGAGAGCAACAAAATGTTCAGGTTACGAATGATGGTGCCACAATTCTAAAATCTATCGGGGTTGATAATCCAGCAGCTAAAGTTCTTGTAGGTAAGAAATAATTTCTAAAAATCTCAAACTGTTTTCTACCATTGTACAACGGTGTTTAGATATATCAATGACACAAGATGCAGAAGTGGGAGATGGTACAACTTCAGTTGCAGTTCTTGCTTCAGAACTTTTGAAAGAAGCGGAAAAGATGGTCGCAATGCGTATTCATCCTCAAGTGATTATCTCCGGCTACAGAAAAGGGCTGCAAATTGCTCAGGATGCTTTACGGGCTTCAGCTAAAGTGTCTAGGTCGGTTTTCTACTAAAGTGTATCCTTAACGTGTTTAAAGATTGCATATGTTGGAGACTTTAGTATGAGTTAGCAATTTCATTTAGTGCCAACATGCGCGATGACCTTTTAAAAATAGCCTGTACAACGTTGGGCTCCAAAATTTTGTCACAGCACAAGGAACATTTTGCTGAACTTGCCGTTGACGCAGTATTGCGTTTAAAAGGTTCTGGATCTTTGGAAGCAATTCAGATTATTAAGAAACTCGGTGGCTCACTGAACGATAGTTACCTTGATGAAGGTACGTTTAACTTATCATTTCATGTTTTCTAATTATTTTTATCAGTTGACCAATCGCAGCCGACTATGACATTGATTGTATTTTAGAATCAATTACTGAACTTTAATGAGCGTAACTGTTTTGTTTTAACTCCTTTTTGTGCACTGGTGTGTGAAGGCAATTTTTCAGCACAATTTTCATATTTTTAGTGCTCTTTTGTATCATGATATAATGGCATTTATCGTCATGCCAAAAGTTGTTTAAGGTTTTCTGTTGGAGAAAAGGCCTGGAATGTATCAACCCAAAAGGGTCGAGAACGCAAGGATCTTAATTGCAAATACTGCAATGGATACTGATAAGGTAAAAGAAAGTTTCGGATTTTACCAATTCTTGCTATCCTTGTTTTTGCAAGATGTGTAAGTTAGTATTCTGTTAGGAAGTTCTAATATTCCAAATTTTCTTGAAGTTCTTGTTACTTTGACCGGGCATCTATTGCAGGTTAAAGTTTTTGGTTCGCGGGTCAGAGTTGAGTCTGTGGCAAAAGTAGCCGAGTTAGAAGCAGCTGAAAAAGAAAAAATGAAAGACAAAGTGAGTTTCATTCTTGTTTGATGATTCCTTTATTGCGTGATTAATGGATTGTTATTAATATGAGTTGAATCGTGTAATAGATACTCACAAAGTATTGATGTCAAGATAAGTAAACTTTGAATCTTTTTTTTAGAAACTTACAATTTAGTTCTTCAGGACTATCGTATTTTTCATTTCGGTGCTTGCTTTTACTTAAATAAAAAGTACAACGGATTTGCCTTGTTTTTTAGGTGAACAAAATTATTGCGCATAACATTAACGTTTTCATCAATCGGCAACTGATTTATAATTATCCTGAACAGCTTTTCGCAGATGCCAACATCATGGCAATTGAACATGCGGATTTTGAAGGGATTGAGCGTCTTGCGTTAGTGCTTGGTTTGTACTTTAATTTTATTTTTTATTAGGTACAATGAAAGGGAGTTCCTGAAACTTTTAACAGGAGAGGTCAAATTCGTTCTTTTTTCAAGTCATTAGTATGGCACATGCAATATTTTTTATTCATTTCATAAAAAAATGAACTTATTTGAAGACGTATTCTTTGGGTGCATCACTCTTGGTTTTTAGATGGTGAGATTGTCTCAACGTTTGACACTCCCAGTCAGGTTAAACTAGGTAGTTGTGACCTCATAGAAGAGGTCATGATTGGAGAGGATCGTCTTTTAAGGTTCTCAGGTGTTCCTCGAGGTACGTTTTGGTTACTCATAATGCGATCGATGCTTTTCTGTTTTGACTGTTTACTTACGAAAAAAATTGGTTGGAGAAAAAGTAACATGAAAGATGTCAGTTATGCATGAGTTTTGCTTCTGTGAGTTTAAGGGTGGGATTCACAAGATTACCCTTCACAGTTTTTGAAGATTTCTGTGCGTTTAACCCAATTGGTTGCTTTAAAATTTTTAAGAATTTATCAGTTTTTTATAGAGCGTAAGAAAGTTTTTGAGACATTACCGAAGTGATTGTTTCTTATCATCTAACTGTTTACCCAACTGATCATTTTCAAGAACGAAATATTTCAAAGACTTGATTACAGTAGTGCTATTAGGATGCTAAGACACTTGCTGGGTTTGTGTATTTGAAGAAAAAATCCAATTTTTGCAGGAGAGGCATGCTCTATTGTTTTACGTGGGGCAACCCAACAAATATTGGACGAAGCTGAAAGGTCTTTACATGATGCACTGTCGGTTCTGGTAACACATGTGAAGGAGTCGCGCACTGTTGTTGGTGCTGGAGCAGCCGAAATTTTAATGAGCTCAGCAGTACTGGTTGAAAGTCAAAAGGTTACTTTTTTTCATTTTCGTGGTCGGTGAGAAATTTGGATTATTTAGAGGACAGGTTAGTTTTTTGTTTGTACTTCATCTGTGACTGGCTGATTTGAAGTTTCAGTTTCTTGTTCTGTGCAACTAGTCTAAAGAACCATTGCCACTGATTTAAAACCTTCTTTTGTGAAGTTGAAAGCCATTTATTTTTAAGGTTTCTGGGAAAGAAGCGATTGCTGTTGAAGCGTTTGGACGAGCGTTAGCTCAGCTTCCGACCATTATTTGCGACAATGCTGGGCTGGATAGCGCTGAGCTTGTGTCGCAATTGAGAGCCAAGCACGCAACTGGTTTCCATACAATGGGAATAGGTACGCTTTTTTGTTCTACTGATCAATGATACCTTGTCGAAACTGTTAATTTCAGACATTGAGAACGGCTCTGTAGGGGATGTAGAGAAGCTGGGAGTAATTGAATCCTATAGCGTTAAGATGTGTATGCTTTCTAGCGCTGCTGAAGCTGCCGAACAAGTGTGTTAAAACTTTCAATTTTTGACTTTTTTGCTCATTACGATGGGTTCTTTTGCTGGCGGGCCTCAAATATTTTTTGGATCCCTCCACAAGTTGGCCTTTTTTTTTTGCTTTTAAACGAAGTTAAAGTTTTGCAGATCCTTCGCGTTGATAATATCATTAAATGTGCTCCACGACCACGTCCGCCTGACCGAAGACCATGTTAGGTCAAAATACTTCATTTACTTATCAACTCTTCCAATTTTAAAATGCTTGATTTTGTTTCCTTTGACTTTAAACTGTTGATCTAAGATATGATGACGTCCAGAATTTGGTTATGATGTCAGTTGGTTTCCTAAACGGTGCTACACGCAGTTAATTCAATACCACATTTTTAAAGAGCTTTTTAGAATGCATTTCAAAAGGACTGAATCATTTTAATTTGGCAATGAAGCTGTTTGTTTGTTGTTATGGAAGCTTTATTCTTTTGATGATAAATTTGTTTTTTCTGCTCTTTTACGAGGCAATCTTTTGCTGTTACGGTCTTACAAGTATTATGGCTTACAATACTTTTTTCTTGTGTTTGCAACATGTTTCGCAGGTGGTGTACAACAAACTTTTCCATAAGAACGTAATTCTGTATGAGAAGTGATTTATTTTCGCATTCTGAATTAATGGTTCGTTTCTTGAGTTAGTAATGCTAGCCGATTATAGTTTCACTCGCGTTTTGAAGCGGAAAGTGCGAACTACAGCAGCTAGTTTTCTTGAGTGAGTGTATCGGTCGTTTACTTTTGAGTATCGAGTTCCAGGCATAAAAGCGACTGCTTTACCTTAGTTTTTTTTCATTGTTGAGGCTCGCTAATTTAATTTAATTTCCTCAAATCTTTACCACGTTTGAAATTTTTTTCTGATAATTAATTTTAAGGGGTCAAGAGGCCAATGGGCTATCGAGTCATGTGGATTGTCGTATTTGGTGAGATGTATATTGCCACTAAATTAGACATCTTTTAGTTACTCAAATTTTATCGAGAATCAGATTATAATGTTGAATGCGTTGCCCGTTAGGGTGCTATTATGTTTTGTGGTAGGGACTCGCTGTTGAACGAAGTAAAATAAGATTTAAGAGGCACAACAAATGGTTTTGAGTAATTTAGGATCCTTTTATAGTTACAATTTCCGCTGCCGAGTTTTCAATAGTTCTTGACGTGCTTCAGTCTTCTCAGTTCAAATGTAGTAACTTGCAGTGGTTCGTCTGTAACTATCCATATTCGTCACAGTCCCCTTTTTCAGCATACACTGAAGAGGTAAATTAGAGTTGAGACTTTCTATTATAAGTAAATGGGCTGATCCTGACGCCACTAAAAAATAGTTTTCTTGCTTTCTAGCTAAGTTTTTCAAAAAAAACTGACCAAGTTGATAGGTCCTGAGCTACTCATTTCCGCCCTAAACGCTGATCTACATCACTATACTTTACAATGATTGCAGCAATAATACTAGATAAGTTCCCCATTTTCCGCCTTATGAGAATGTCGCAGAGTCAGCGACCCGACGCTCAAAATTAGGTATTTGAGCAACACCTATTGTTGATGCTTCATCATTTTTTTCAGTAACCTCTTACCTCTGCATCGCTTCTCTCATTAACTTTTTCGTCGCCTTACTTAAGAGTTAAATCTCAAATTATTAGTTCACTGTCATTTGTAAAACCGTAGCACTAGCTGTCAGCGCCTTGCCAGCATTTTTTGGTAACTATCACAAAGAGAATGTGAAGTTCCTAGTCATGGTTCGAAAGGATTAACGTTTTTCGTTTATTGCAGTAAGTCGGGACAGCAGTGATATCGATGCTCTTGGGGCTGGTTTGGTGGCAGATCTCCCCGTGCCAAATAAACAGCTTTTTTACGGTCGTCAATTTTTAACAGCCCGGACACTCAAAGTACCAAGATGCTCAAGAACTTCTTCTGTGGGAACCTCTGATCAGACAGCACTTCGTTCGGTGATGTGGTAGGGCTTAACACCATATAATTTTGTAATTCCCACATCCTAAAACTGATCTTGTGGCATGACTCGCATGCACTACGTTGCAGTCTCACCACGAAGGGCTTCATACCAAGTACGCAAATTGCAGTTTGCCGACTGCCCTCTTTCTGAACAAATTTCCCACAGACCCTCCAGAAAACTGCTGAGCAGTCCTGTATGGAATTGCTTAGAAGTGGGGCGTGTTGCTTCTGTCAAGGGACCTCAGAAACACCGCAACCGCCCCATCATTTCCATCTTGGTTGAGTAAAATAAAGAATAGGAGGGAAACTAACCCACGCAAATCGCTGTCCAAGTTTCCGAGGTGTTTTTAGTCAAACACCTCTTTAAAATTTTTCACTTATTACCGGAACACTAACGGTGAACCCGACATGTATCTGCGCAACTTAAGGCATGACAGGCCAAGTAAGTCATATTTCAATTGAAAACCTAGTTTATTTCTTTATTACAGTGCAAAGGAACTCCCAAAAGGTTTGGAAGAAGTAATGGAAGCTGAACAACCAGCACGCATTTTGTACAAGGTGAAGTGGTAAATAGGTGGTAGGTTAACGACGGACGAAAAATGTAAAGTGTAGGAGTTACAAAAGTAAAGATAATAACAAAGTTAAGTAAGCCAATGGGCGCACAACAGCTTTCATCTGAAGGTACGGTATGGTGTATCGAACTTGACGAAACCTCTCAACTTCTTCGGTACTTGGCCCACTTTGTCTAACCAACTTTCGTTGAGAAGTTCAGCAGGAGAAAAGGACCTGAGCATTGAAATGCGACAGAGCTGCGACAGCGAAGGAATCTGAAAATGAGTTGTTGGGTATTCGGATCATTGCAAGAATTTACAAAGATCTCATATCATTCATCTCACGTGGAATTTGCAGCCGATCAACTCTGCTACTTCTCCACAGCAGTTCGGAATATATGTAGAAAATGCAGCCAAGAGTTCGATTAGATTTCTGAGATCAGAAACGTAGTCGAACTGACTGACGTAGCTTAGTAACGACAGGTTTTTCTTATTGTGGCAGGAACACCAGCGCTTAAAAAACGTCTTGATGGGGCAAGAAACAGTTAAGAGGCTTTCTTGAGAATCGAGAAAATTTGAGTTCTGATTAAAGGAAGCTCATAACGAAGAAAATCCAACTGACTTCAAGAAATGGTTTTAAGCCACATTTCAAAAGCAGTATTAACTTTTCGCGATTCTCCGACCCCAAAATGGATAAGAGCGCATCAGGGATTTCGTAATCAGAGTCCTCACTGTAAAGTTTGAACCATTTCAGTAATCAACAGTGGCTCATGAAATATATACGTTAAATATTTGCATCAAGAACTTATGGATGAGTGAAATTTACGAAAAGAAACCTGATAAAATTTAGGTCGACATTATGTTCCAAAAAACATTCAAGAATCGATGGGTCAAGAGAGTTCCGGAAGGCAAACAAGAATGGAGAGGAACATTCTTCGGAATACACCATCTAAAAGCTTAAATCGTCACAAATCCTTCCCAACAGGCCAGAAAATTTAAGTTTGGTGATGCAGCCTACGTCTTGAAAATGAATCGAAGAAAAAACTTTTGAAACCCCATTGCATCAAAAGTACAAACTCCCACAAAGCAAACCAGAATTTGTATCCCAAAGAAAGGCAAAGCTCCCATTTCTCACTAGTTTCATTACCTAGGCAAAATCAAAAACTGTTTAACTCTATCTTCATGTTTAAACTGTTCCTCACTCTAATTTCCCAACTTACAAAATTGCGCAGTGCCATAGGTGAAGGGAATTTATAATTATACAAAACATGCAAATGTCAGGCTTACTGATTTTGCTTTTTGGAAATGTAATCAGCATTCAGAGAAGTGCAAAGCTCTCCCTTCTTTACCACTGTTAATATTTGCTTAGTACGGAGATTAATTCATTTTGCCGGGAAAACTTTAAAATTTGGTAATGAAAATGAAGTACCACTAGTTTTTGGTGTTTACACTGTGGCCGAAACCAGCTGGCTATAACTCGTTATAAATTACAAATGATTAATTCAGGGCGTTCTGCGCTGGTAAAATTTTCTGCCTCTTCATCATTTTTTTTATTACCTTTGCTTTCAAAAAGCAACCATAACAAAAACTTGTCTTTCATATTAAGTTCCTCATAAATAATTAAACACCAAAAGAAAATTAAATGACTACTCTGAAAGTAACAAGTCCACTGGCAATGCATAAAAAATTTTACTTTCGCTCCTGCATCGAGTAGCAACCGCACTGACTCCGTATGTCCTCGCCTGACTGCCTCTCGTAAAGGAGAATAACAGTTCCTGAGGAAAAGAGGGCGTAAGTAAGGTATAAGAGTCAGCACAACTGGAGAATACACAAATTCCTGAAATCAAAGCTAAAGTAGCTTGAGTACTTAATTGTTCAGGAACTTGAAGCGGCTATTAGAGAGACAATTCCTGACCATATTTTTCTTAGCAATGTAATTATCACCAAAAGCCCTTATGGATTACAAACTACAATTCAGATACCCCACTAAAGGCAAGGATTTTAAAATAAGGAATCTCAAGTTGTATTGCAAATTAATGAGCGATGAGGTTACGTACTCATTAAAAATAACATATAACCTCTGTGGAATAGCCAGCCTCCAGCAAAAGCTTAATACATGTAGCTGAACCGCTATAGGCCGCCCCTGTCATTGGCCCAATCTGCAAAAATTCGAAGCATAGCATCAACCTCTTAATAATCAAAAGTTACACTGTAATCAAAAGCATTTTTCAGAAAGTTAGAAGGATTCGATAAACCAAAGATTCACTCAGCGGAACTTAGAAACTTCATTACCGCAGTCGTTTCCAACACCATCCTGTTCACATGTGGGATCAGCAATTTAAGACACCTAGAGAACTTCGCCAGCGAAGCCTGTGTTAATGCATGCATACCTTTTTTCTCATCCATAGCATCACTCCACTCAGTATCCATAATTATGTTACAGTCTGCGCCATAATCAATCAAAATTTCAAGAACCTGTATTTTGCATAAATCACTTGAATAACAATCAAAATATTCTAGTACTACACCTCTAAAAACAATAATAGAAAAAAAAAGTTCTACAAAAAAGTCTACCAGTTTACTGAAATTCTTTTTTTTACAAGATTCAAGGACAAATAAACTACTATGCTTTAATAGGCTTAAATCTGTTACCGTTCTCTAAAAAAGAATTACCCAAGCATATTCAAAAAACGGTTAATCTTCTTCACTACCATATGTACCCGGACATTTCACTAATGAAGCTGGACCAAAAGAGAGGGAACTACAGGCTGTACAGCTAAGAGGTAACTAATTTTATAAATTTTTAACAAGACGGTCACCAAGTGATCGACCAACAGGTTTCCAACGTTTGCCAGGAGGCGAAAAATTTGAAAAAAAAGTGTGAGCTCAAAATGTGTATTACCAAAAGGCGTTTATGCTCAACTTATTTCTTCGGTGGTGCGTTACGAGGGATTATCATAAAATAAAAGAAATTATTAAGATGTAAAATAAAGCTTACATCATCGTACCCTTCAGACACTGCAGCCATCACACATGAAACATTTTTCCTCAAAAGACAAATATTCGCCAGCTCCGCCGCTCTATCTGTAGTAAACTAATAATGCGACATCGGAGCCAATCAGGTTTTTTCCGTTAGCACGGTGACTTATGAACTAGCATTAAGAAGTTTTAAACTACTTAAACAAACTACGAAATCAAGGAAGTTAATAGATTGAAAATTTTCGAAAGAAATAAGTTTAAACCATTGTCTAACAATGTAAAAAATAGAAGAAATACCTTTTGCCGCTTCCAAAGCCAACTTTACACATGGAATGCAGCGTTCCTGTACGGCTACTAGCAAGGGTGTATGATGATCATCATCAAGAACAAAAATGTCCATACCCATGTTCAACAAACGTTCCATAGTTTTCTTTAAAAAATACAAAAAAAAAATTAAATGCTTATAAATCATATTTTGCAACAAAAACAACGATAAAGAAAAACTGAAAAATGAACAAAAAGATACTTCCCCACCATACTCCGCGTGAATCACCCAAAGCTAGAGTGTGGCCCTGACGAATTCAAATAAATAATTCTATGTCAAATGGAATACTCGATTCTACAAATTCAACTCTCTTATGTATAACAGTCCTAAACTTCTGTATTACTCTACAGTTGTAATCCCACAAACATCTGGAAGAAATCGCATTTGGACCTGAGTGAACAACTACTATTTACCGTAATATAACATAAAAGTGCCTTTTTTGAGTGGCATTGCACTGCTCAATCAAACACGATGGAGTGCAACTAAAGAAGCATGATATGCTTAAGAATGGTATCAACAACATCGATGAATAAACCGTTAAAGAAGTATCCTAAACAGCTATGACACAGTACAAACTGCTAATAAGACAAAAAGCACTTGAGTTATCTCTTTAAAAATGTCTGGCCCTGTCCTGCTGAAATGTGGATGACAACCACTGTACAACACTTCTTACTTGTAAAGTAAATAAAAATGCTGCAACTTCCTACAGCTATAAAATGAACTATAATGGAAGTTGCACTTTTGCCCTCAAACCTCAATGCTGAACCCAAAGGTTCCTTCTGCGCTGTACTTTAACCATATCGTAAATTTACTGGCCCACTCCTTCGGAGTACTGCCTTAATTTTACGACTTCAGCCAAAGAAGGCTGTCATGAAAAATCATCGAAAATTTTTTCAGAAAACTAATTTTTACTACATAAAAACCTTAGTTTCTTTTTCTCCTGAATAAAGACGTTAAATCTGATTAACAAGCAACAATTCCTATCATATAAAGTCCAGATCATAATATATATTACAAAAAGATTAAAATATTAGTTAAACCGGAGAAATGAAACAAGACTATTGCTTCTCAATCAGATTTAATGTTTTTATTTAGAAGAAGAAACTAAGGTTACTGTGTAGTAAAATTTAGTTTTCTATCATTCTGAAACCAGAAAAGTTTTAAAAAAAAAAAAAAAACAAAAACAAAAAATGTTCAATCTTTTACCGCATCGTGTCGACAAGCAGCCTCGTGTAAAGCTGACCAATTGCCGTACCAAGTTAACGAAGGATCAGCTCCACGGTCTAACAGCACATCAATCAACTCTTCATTTTGTGACCTGATTGCTTGAATTAACGGCGTCATACCATCAAGACTACTTAAATTCACATCTGCACCCTATAATCTACTGGGTTGATTATATTAGAAGTCGTAAAAAATAGAAATTGAAAACACGCCTAATAAAAAGCATTACATTATCTAACATCAGCTTGGCAAGTTCACAAGCTTTCTTCTGTTCTTTCCTCTTACCACACACAAGTAAGAGTGGAGTGACACCATCATGGGCCTGAGCATTCAAATGAGGTTCGTCTGCAACGAAAAATCTACTAAAAAATTTTTACAAATATCACAGAAGTCCACCAGTAAATTTCACAATCTTCACATAGTAGCTTCCCCCAAATAAAATGAATAAAAATGAACTATCAAAACCAATAAATCTGTGACAGCATCTCCCAAAGAATCGAAAAGGCAACTTTTGCATAAAACAATTAAAAATTAAAATGAAAACAATAAAAAAGTACAAAAGAATAGAAAGAAATCTCAGACCAGATTCGCAAAGAACACGGCAACATTCAGTGTGTAATCCAAACGCTGCTTCATGCATAGGAAACCAGCCTCTATCATCAGAGAACCGGCCAAACCGGGCCTCCAAAAGTAACCTTGTTAAATGAACGTCACCAACTCTACAAGCAACACCTACAGTAACGGTCTGAGCTAAAGTGCTTAGATCAATTAGACCGGTGTAGTAGTAGTCCAGTGCCATACAAATTCGCTTGTAATACAGTTTGTCTTCTTCAAGACCTGCAGGTGCATATTGTACATAAATAAAGCTGAAGAAAAAGGTTTCAAAAACTTATAAGAAATCATGTATGAGCGTATTTATACAAAATACAAGTACCTCCACTAAACAAGAATTCTCCATTTCTAATATACTCCTTTTTAAGGCTTTGTTCTGCAGAGGTTGATGGTTCCATCAAATCTGAATTGTCCTGAGCAGCAGCATGACTATTTCGACGTTTCATCGATAAACGGTTGATTATTTTTGTTATTTATATCTTTGAAAAAGCCGTAAAGTACGTAAACACCCCTAAATTCGGCTAAAAACAAATGAGTGATTTCTATCAGCTGATGGGACATTAAAGAACAATGAAGAGAAGAATTGGAAATTACAAGTGACTCTTCACGGCATCATAAAGTCAATTCTACCTATCAATCAGTAAAAGAAACTACCGCTTTCTATAAGTCTACCCTCGTGTGCACCAGAAAGTAAAGGCTACTTTGAATTCTGATCGGTAGTTCACAGAATAATTTGAATAATTTCAACGAAAAAACTGCGGTAATTTGTTTTAAAAATTAGAATTATTTTGGGTAAATGCCATTCAACCAGCTGCACTGCCCTATAACAAACGGCCAACTGCCCACAGTCTCAAAGATTAAAAAGTCCAGAAAAAGGTATCTTAAAGCTGCTATATACATCCAGTCAACGCTGTCAGTGTCTCAATGATATTGGCTGAGACTACCCAGAACACACTCTCCAAACTAAACCTTTATTTGGACCTAAGATGAACAAACGCCATCTGCGAAAATCTAGTGACTGAATGACGTTCTTCTTAGTTATTATCTCCATAAGCGGTTAATATGAACGATCATTAAATGAAACATCAAGCAGGTGGAAGATGTTTATTTCCTTTGAAAAAAAAGGATGCTCTAAAAGTTAATCTTTAGCAGACTAACTTAATTTCCGCTGTGAACTAAAAACCTACAGACGTAAAGCTAACCAACCCCAGTCCTGAATCAAATTTTCTGCTTCTCTTTAATGTCAGTATCTGTTTCTAGTCTTGACCAGTCTAGTTTTACAGCTTACAAAATATATAGAAAATTTTTTCTTCCAAGTAACATAAACTGCAGAAGCGAGGATCGGTTATGCTTCTTAACCCTCTCAAGTATTCATTTTTTTTTTTTTTTTTGTTGAAGTAATACAAAAAGTTTAAATGTAAAATGGCGAAGTGTTGCGCAGTCAGAAAATTAGATTTTTGCACTGGACTTCTTCCAGCATCAACTTCTTTGAGAGGCACAAAATTGTGGGGCCGGGAAGAAAATAAAAGGTAAAGATGTTTTTTGCAAACAGAGGTTTATAAAAAGAAGCTGAATTTTAATGCCCAATCTACACTTCATAACTATTTTTTCAAATAATGTTACGGGTATTTCGCTGAACGATAACCGTATTCGTACAAGCAACACTGAATACAAGTTGAGATTAAAAAAGTAGCATTTTCAGTAAAATCCTAAACTTGCAAAATTGGAAACAAAGCAAAAGAAAAAAAAAGTCCTGCAAAGCGATAAGCAAAAAGTCGGAATGAATATTCGTTAGAAAAACTGATGTGAATTTTCAGAGAACGTACAAATGGCGTAAAGAAATTTCGCGCCAGTTGGAAAAGTGCCAGCATCAACTTCTTGGCGCTTAACTACTTTATACCGGAGGCTTTCTTGTCGTCCATTTGATGGAAGTTGAAGCCGTTTTGTGGGTCGGATTAGAAGAGGCGAAATATAGTGTAACTGCTTTTGATTAAATAGGTTCGCTAGTTGAACAGTTTATCTGTTCAACTGTACAAACAGATATATAAATATGATTTTATATTTGAGCAAATTTTGATCTCGTTTTACTTTTATCTTACAATCATTTATAGGGAATGCTAACCGGAAAAGCAGTAAAATACCTTCTTTTATCATTGTTATATTACGGTGTTTTGGTTGTGGGGAGTAATTTTTAAATAACCAAAAAGTAGAAGAAAAAAAAAATGAATGGAAACAGACGAACAAAACTATAATTTTTTTTAAATGTTGATAACATCTAAAAATTATGCATAGTTGTGGGATTAATGTCATAAATATTATGTATTTTGCTCGAATTTAACCCTAAGTATTTCTGTCCTATTTTTTTATTTTGTTTTAAAACATTAATTTTCTGTAGACAACTGTAAAATTTTAATACCATTTTTTTTTTTGTTGCAAAAAGACAAAACAACAGCATTGATGAGTTGTATCAGATACAGACATTTATATGGTTTGTTGTTTTGTCGTTTGATATGCACTTTTAATTGAGTACAGTTAATTTGAGAAAATGAATCATCTTAAAAAATATCAAAAGCACCGAAAAAAGCTATTTTTCCTGATTTACTGAAGCAAAAATTTTGCTTTTTTGTTTTTTTATTATTTATGCTAAAAAATTGAGCAAAGTGTACAGTAAAAATATAATTTGAAAAAAAACTTTTTGTTTTGAATTAATTTAATCTGCGATTTTCTTTCATTTTCTACAGAAGATGACTTCCTTTGAAAACTTTAGTTAATAAATCTCGCATGAGAACAACAAATCAATATGTTTTTAAGCAATTAAATTAAACAATCCTTACGGGAAAAAAAAAGTAGCAAAAATAAAGGAACAGAAAAAGAAAGAAAGGAAAGTAATGGGAAATTCACTGCAAAGAAATGTAAGAAAAACTTCTTAGACCAAGAAAATAAGGAAAACAGAATGTTGAAAAAGAAGAGGAAGAAGAAGAAGAAGAAGAAGAAGAAGAAGAAGAAGGAAGACGAAGATGAAGACGGAGAAGGAGAAGGAGAAAAAGGAGGAGAAATAGCGAGAAGAGAGTTTTGATGACTCTGCCACCACCCAACAGAAGATGAGGTGTAGATAATCCACTCCGGTTTCCGGAGTGTTGTGACCATGCGCGAAAGCATCAAGACAGAGTTCTGAGGTTCACTGCACATATCCCGGAAGCAAATTTCGGAAGGAGCAGCAGATTTGGCTCCAGAGGCTATATCCAAAGTCACAATGCGTTCCCTGAAAGGAAACTTTGGGGGAAACAGCAGACTTATCTCGACGGACGATTTTAAAAGTCAAAGATGATAAAAGACGTTGCATTCTTGACTCATTCATTTTCACCGAATTAAAAGGAATTTTTTGGTGGTGCACCAGATGTTGAGTCGGATTGCGTCTTCTGTGCTTCGGCGTGGTCAATCTTTTCTTTTGACGTTTCTTTCGAATGGTATATTTTGAATTTGAATTTTACTTGTGCCATTTAGGCAGCCCATATTTATTAGTCTGTAAAACCAGTGTAAAACCAGTGATTAGATTCTGGATTCGCTGTATTAATGTAACTTTTAGTTGTAATCTTGATACTTTTCAGCACTTTTTTCTTCACTGTACTAACTGACGTACACTCTTCACAAAAATACTTGTTGACTGCTAGTTTGTTCCAGGGGAATTAATGACTTAATTAATTATCACTATTTCACCATTTATGTCACTTGTCCTGTTGTGTTTTTGCAACTACCATAACATAGACCAGATTTTCCGGAGCAGAAGTGAGCGCCTATGCAGTTGAGTTACTGTTACATACGTCCATTCAATAGTAGATTGCAATCCTCAACTGGCGATCGAGAGCTATAAAACCTAAAACTTTGAAAACATACAAAGGTAGTTAAAGAAAATACTGGTTTGTACTGTGGAACATAAAGGCTAGATGCGCTTACAGCAAGAATGTACAAGAACAAAGACTCATTTGCTTGTACCAGAACGCCCACCGCAGTTCTCCCTCATATTTCAAAATTCCGTAAATTAACCGTGGCTTGTACGGCTACTCTTAATGTGAAACAAAGATTCTCTCTCCTCAGATGCCAACATAAGACGTGCTGCTACCTTCAGAATATTCGTCACTTTATAAATCAAGATGAAATTATAAAGCAGTATTGTAAGTAAATTATTTTTACAACTAAAATTTGTTCTTTTTGAGGTCAATTAATCTGTCAAATAGATGGTGGAATAGTTGCAAACTTGTAGAGCAGAAGTTGCTTAAAAAAATGCTTTATTCTTTATTTTGGTCTAGCTAAAATAGTCATCACTGTGAATCCTTGATCACTGCAGTTTGTCAAAAGATATTACTTAATAAAGTAATGCTGATCAATGGGCATCATATTTGTTATATACAGTAAGTTCTACTGAAAACTACTTTTGTTTTCAATCTTATTACTTTTTTTTCGAAATTATCTTATTGCAGGGACATAATTAATGAATGCTGCTAAAATTTTAATATTACAAGAAAAATGTCTGTCTTTATCTGAAATTCAGATCTTCATCGATGACTATTTATTTTACTATTGATCTAAAATAATGATTAGCTAATACTGAAGACATGCATAGATATATACGTAATATATGGGAATGTTTTTAACAAAAATCAACAAACTCTCTCGTAACTTTGTATTTTCTTGTTATTTTGGTTAAAAATTTGTTTCTATTTTGTTGTTTAAAGTTTTTGATTGATAAATTAATGTCGAAAAAGCTAATTTAAAGATGCAGTGATTATTTACTGTAAAAATATATAATTTTTTGTTTGAGACAAAAGATTTTTGAGCTTATCTAAACCTCCGTACCTTTGAAGTACAGCCGGAAGTTGTAAATCTAAAACAAAAAAAATCTGGTCAATTTGAAATTAAGGGAGAAGGAAAAGTAATGGTAAGATGGTTTATTTTGTAGCCTCGTTGCTAAATAGTGATTTACCATTTCACGTAAATATGAACTCTACAAACTACATCTCCAGGTTATTTCGCTTATCTTATTCAGCTTTAAAAAGCCGCATTTGACAATTCAGCTATTCCTCTTACTTGCTTATCTCATAACGACTGTAAGCAAAATAAAAAATTCGCATTATCACCTTTTCATAAGTTAAAAGGAAAGCGAATAGAAAATTTAAAATGTTGAATCTCTAAATAGCAAATACAAATACGCGTTCAAATTTTTGTTATTTTAGCAATAAATCACTTAATTGTTAGTGACAAACAGTCATCACGCTGTTTAAACAGCAATATGCATTTGAATATAAAACGTTATCACTGAATTCTGGACAAGGTGTAGTACAGTAAAAAAGTTGAGAAATAATTACAAGGCTAGTATTATTCAAACCAACATTAATCAAGAATTTTAAAATTCTGTTTGAGTTTAACGGAATTGCTGAAGATAGTTTTA